GGGGACCAGAACAGGTAGATCTACTGAAATACAGTGCTGAGGGGAGCAGCGGGCAAGACTGGAGAGGTCTGCTGCGCCATGTACCTCACCTCCACGGCTGGTGGGAAATCTAACTCGCATGCTGCAGTGGCTGCTGAGAGCTTGATAGCGCTGTCTTTAATTAACCCCTGTCCCACCAGGGAAGCCCCATTTAACAAACTTTTATAAACTGGCCAGAGTTGTCTTTTTTCCCCAAGGAGTTGGACCTTGTACTAATTACAGCACATTTTCAGGTGCCCCTAAGTAGAAAAATTCTAATGTTAAAAAAAAAGTCAGTATTTTTATCATTTACTAGCAGTGACACGCAGTTACCAGTGGTTGTTAACATCACTGAACATTTTGGCAGAAGGTCCATTACTTCTTGAAGGATTTCACATTCCATAGTGTCCCAATAAAGGGAAGGGTGACATACCTGAGGCCTGTTGCCTCTCCTCTCTCTCTGACTTCCTGTGTCAGTGGAAAAAGTGACAGTCACCAGTTAAGGTTCCTAAACTATCTTGAGCTCCTCCTGTAAAATAAAGTTAGGTTCTCTGTTACTGCTGCCCACTCATGGACAGCACTGCCCATAAAAGATGCCCTAGTGAGATCAGAGACCAAAGGAAAATCCTTTTTAAAACTTCAAAGAAACATGGTCTGGGTATTCAACTGCCTGCTTTCAATTTCCCTAGGATAGCTCATAGATGTCACAAATTAAACATTTTAAAAATAACACTTGATTCTCTCTTCTCCCTTTTAAAACTGTTCCAATGGCTGATTTTCTCTATCTCAAGAAAAGGAACATATGCCTGCCCACCTGTTTATTCTAGAAACCTGGCAGCCATCTTGATATGTCCTTTCCCTCGAATCCACTCCAGTCCACCCCAAACGAAGATGTTGAATCCACTCATCTTGCCGTGTCTCTCACTTCCTCTGCCTTCTCCTCCTAACTCCAGCTTACTCTAGCTAAACTACTCTCTAATTTGTCTCTTGGCTTTTAGTCCTACTCCTTCAGTCCTCCATGTTCCACACAGCAAGGAAGGTAGTTTTCTTGAAGTGGAAACTATCTCCTGAGACTTCCTGGCTCAAAACCCAGTGGCTCCTCATTGCACTTAGGATATGATCCAAAATCCTTGATGTGCCTTCAAGGCTGTGTGGTGGTCTGGCCTTTGCCTGCCTTCCCACATGCGTCTTCCCTCTGCGTGCTGTGTTTCGGGTTCATTGGCCTTTATAACCAGCCTCTGAGCCTGCAGATACTGCTGTTCCCTCTGTTTGGAAAACTCTGTCTCCTCTTTTCTTAGCTAACTTGAACTTGTCCTTTGAATCTCAGTTGAAAATCTCAGACAACACCCAATGTAAATTCATCTGCTATTATTTTATCTTTCAGTGTATATGTGTGTTTTGATCTTTTATGGCTAATTGTGTTGGTAACCACATACATATATATTTAACCACATATATACATGTGGCTTATTAAAAATACTCCCCATAACTGTAAGCTCTTTGCAGTCAGAGACCTGTGTTGTCTTACATTAGTAGTGTCCAGCAAAACTCCTGACATTTAGTAAGGGCTCAATAAATATTTGTGGAATGAATGACTGAAAATATGTGTAGCGGCAGGAAGGGCACAGGTTCTCTATGACCCGAGCAGACAGGTAAAGGAGAGGAGTCCTGGAGCCCTTGGTGCCTTTTTCAGGGTTTTATTGAGTTTACCAGGTACACAGCAGGCAGGGGTGCCAGGGGGATGAGAGGCTGGTAGGCCTCCCAGCTCCCAGCAAGTCTTCACTCTTTTTTGGGCTTTCTGGCGTTCTCTTGTAGCCTCTGCTTCTCTGCTGGTTCTCTTCTGGTCTTTCGCTTGTTCACTTCCTGTTAGTTCTGCTCCCTCTGGTGTCCCCGTGATGCTGCCCTTATAAGCCCAGTCTTAGTCCACATGTACCCACCTACGTATGCCCACACCCTACTCCAGGTGCCCGCCATCAGGCATGCATTCAGGACCGCAGGGATACATCATCAATGCTAATGGCGGGAGGACAGAAAAGCCAGACAATCGTTTACCCTACAATATGTTAACTCATTTAATCTTCTCAATAATCCAGTGAGAGAAGTGTTCTCATCTTACGCATGTGGAAAGTGAAACTGAAATTAAATAACCTGTCCAATGTCACACAGTAGCAGGACAAGTGTGCAAAGTCAGATTTTCTTTTCTGACTGTAAGCTCTGTGTGTGTGTGCACATGCACACATATATTATTGATATGCTTATATAAATACGATATATGTATGTATACATTCTGTCTATATTATATGTTCCATTTTGGATTCCTGGCACTTCATCCTTCTTGAGACAGCCATGTACTTTGAGACAGCCATGTACTTTGAGACAGCCATGTACTTTTTGGCCTCCACCCCTGCAATGCGTTTGATATGATGTCCTCCTTTATATTTCCTGCTTTATACTTCCCTTGGATAGCTAATTCCTTCAGCAGCCCATGGGTCTTGCTGTCAGCTCAGAACCAATTAGAATTTTTGGATCTCTTATTTGGGTGTTGGAGAAGCTAGGGGGCTTTCAGAGTTTCGGTACAGGCACAATCTTTGCTGAGTGTCTACTTCTTAGGGCCACACCCACTAACCTACTGCCACTGCATTTCCAAATGGATGCATCACACAAGTTCCCTTTACTTCTGCCCTTCCCTCCCCCCACAACTTCAAGGGAGAGTCATCATTCAGTCCCTGCCCTGGGATTCTACCTGAGCAGGTAGGGCATGAATTCTTTACCATTTGGGTCTTTAAACTTTATTCTTTCCCTCCAAATTGGGCAAATGTTTTCTGGTTTGATGTACCCTTTTGTTGGTTCTTACACACACACAAAAACAAGAAACAGCAGCAACATGGGGGAAAAAAAAAGGTTTTGTCTTGTCACAACTTTCCTCTCACCTGGGTGGTGCCTCCTTGTCAGCTTGGATCTACTGTGTTGGTGTCCTTTCTGTTTTGCCTGTAGATTCATGCTGCAAGGAGGGGGAAGTAAGCACTTTCAACTGTGTGTGGGGACAGGCACAGGATGGGGAGTGAAGAGGGGGCAGAATACAAGCATTTTAAATGAATATATTAGCGAGAAGCATTATAATCCCTTCGCAGAGGGATTCTGGGTTAGGAACATGGTTTGGCAAGGATTATCTTATCTTTGGCAAGGAGCTTCTTAACTGCCTGTACCATAGAGTTTCTGGAAAGTTTTACAACAAACCCTGATATCCAACCTCATCACCATAGATTCCTTTTTAGTTGTTGTGGACAGGTTTTTTGGCATCAGTCATTTAAAAATCTTCCCAGGTGACATTAATGTGCAGCCGGAGTTGAAAATCACGAAGATGGAGGGAGAATCCCATGCACCAGGATCCTTTTGAGGGATGCATGTTACAGTATTATCTCTTTTCTCATCTGATCCAAATGTGCAGGAGCCAAAGGAACTGGAGGGAATTAAGACCAATTAGCTGAGCTCACCTGACTGGGGCTCCTCCTGCCAAACACCCATTAAAGAGGCGTCTTTGTCTAAAAGAGAAAGAAGTATGCTTGGTTCTCAGAGTGTGGATTGTCAGCTTTCTGAAATTCACTTTTTTGTGTGTGTCCTGTGGCCTTAAAGTGCAAATGATGATCATGGTGATCGGCAGCTTGGAGCATGGAGACACTTCTCAGCTGGCCTCTCCCACAAGTTCTCCTGGGTTCCCTTCTGTCTGCCTGGTTGCCCTAACAGCAATTTCCTTTCTCCCTTTGTGTTTTAACTCCTGCCCTGACTTGCTCCCCTTGCCTTGCCTTGAATGCACACCTTCCTTTCCAAATCCAGCCTTACCCAACCAGCTCAGATGCTGGTCTTGCATGAAAGCAGTCCAGCACCCCTGGCTGCCAAAGTCACTCTGTCCCTTTGGAAATATTCCTTTCTCCCCCACACCCTTTTATGTCCTTATCCTTAAGACACTCCACACTTTCTCTGTTGTCTTTCATGTGGGTGCGTGTTTTCTGGCCTAGATTTTGAAGCCCTGGAGAGTGGGATTTATGTTTTGTGTATTATCTCCCAAATAGTACTCAGCCCCCAGCTTGTAGGGAGTGGGAACTATTATTTGTTGGATGATTCTAAAGAGAATGTAGGTCATTGGTACCCTGTCACAAACTATGATGAAAATCACTTGTAAACGGTTTAATTATTCCCAGCTAAATAAATATAAATTAACTTTTGGCATGTAAATTTGACAAAAACACCACTGTTACAAAAAGTCACTGTAATGGTGCCTTTCACCTCTCCCCTCCCCCTTTGGTTTTCAGTCTCTGTAGAGTAAGTGAATTGGTCAAGCTTTTATGCCATTGGCCTCTGTGGCTGTCACCCTTTGCCTTGAATGCAAAAGGGTCTTGGGAGTGTGGGTGCCTGATGGTGGACACCTGGAGTATGGTATGGGCGTGTGTAAGTGGGCACACCTGAGCTGGAGCCTGAGGCTATAAGGCCACATCACTCAGAGACAAAAAAAAAAAAAAAAAAACACCTGCTACAGCGGAATGGCAATGAGAGGAGGAAACCATCAGAGAATGGCAGAAAAAGCACAAAGAGAAAGGCTAAAGATTCGCTGGGGCCAGGCCCCGGCCTCCCTGCCTTGCCAGCCTGCAGGCTTACCCCACAATTGACATAGAAAGAGCATTAAAGCTTGAAAAAAAGCCACTGAGGACTCCAGGACTCTTTGCCGGACTCATTTGCCTGAATCAATAGAGAACCTGCCCTGTGCGAGCTGGCACTACAGTCTCCTTTCTAGGTTTCCTATAGGGTAAGGTAAACAAGTATCAGGCTTTTCTGCCCTCCCGCCATTAGCATTGATGATAGATCCCTGTGGTCCTGAATGCATGCCTGACGGCGGGCACCTGGAGTAGGGTGTGGGCATATGTAGGTGGGATTCACCTGGGCTGAGAGACTGAGCTTATAAGGGCGGCGTCACGGGGACGCCAGCAGAGCAGAGCAGAGCAGAACAGATGAGGATGAAAGAGCAAAGGGAGCAGAGAGGCAGAGGCCATGAGAGAACCCCTGGAGAGCCGTGTACCTGTGTACCTGGTAAATCCCAATAACAGCCTACCGAGGGCTCCAGGACTCCTTACCCCGTCTGCCTGATCATAGATATCCTGCCCTGTGCCCATCCTGGCTCTTACACCTATGTTTGGGGAATTCTTGGTTAACTTGGAGGGAGGCAAGGTTGATCTCCCACTGCAGAAGCTGGGAAGTCCAAGTGTTTGTTTTCTCCACCTTCCTGCCAGGTAGTTTGGACACCTTCCCTCAGTTCAGACAGTCATTCAAAGTTGGGATTTTGAGGCTGAAACGAGAAATACAAAGTTGCGGGTTGGTGGCAAGCTCAAGCTACTGGTGGCTGCAGCCATGTAGCTTCAGCATTTAGGCTTCAGGCTGTGGGGCTGCTTACCCCCAAGGTCCAGGGAAAGTAGGGTGGTCGCCTTCGAAGTCGCTCTGGCTGTGCCCTTTGCCTATTTCTGAGCCTGCTTTTCCAAATGTGCTGGCAACTCTGTGACCTACTTAGGGCTTCTGAGACCCAGCTGGTTCTGTTGTTTTCAACAAAGAACCCTGACTGCTAGACTTAATTTAAACATTAAAAGCCAAGTGATGCTTTTTATTGGTAGGTGTTCATAATTATTGCTAACCGCACAATTTTTTCTCCTATGAATCAATGATACAATTTTGCTTTCAGGAAAGACCAAGTACTTTTGAAAATTTGTATCTAATAGCTATTAACCCTGCACAGATCTAAAATTACGCTGTTCTGAGATTTTAATGTCTCTTATTTTTTTTATTTTTGCATTTATACTTTTGTGCCACTAAATAGTTTGAACAAGAAGATGAAATCTCTGCTCTCCAGATGGCCCCTTGCCACCTTGCCATTTCTACTTTCCACGCTATTGATTCTCTTAACGGTGGCAACTCCTACCTGGTGTGAGAGCAGGGAAACTACATCTCCAAAAGCTAGTGATGGGACACCATTTCCATGGAGTAAGATGCGACTTCCTGAGCACATCATTCCTGTTCATTACGACCTCATGATCCATGCAAATCTCACCACTCTGACTTTTGGGGGCACCACTCAAGTGGAAATCACAGCCAGCCAGCCCACCAGTGCCATCATCCTGCACAGTAACCGCCTGCAGATATCAAAAGCCACCCTCAGGAGAGGCACCGGAGAGGGGCAGCCTGAAACACCACTGAGAGTCCTGGAGTACCCGCCTCACGAGCAAATTGCACTTCTGGCTCCCGAACCTCTGGTTGCTGGGCTCCCTTACACCGTGACCATCGACTATGCTGGCAACCTCTCTGAGAGTTTCCATGGATTTTATAAAAGCACCTACAGAACCAAAGAGGGGGAAGTGAGGTAATTTTTTCTATTTTTTTTAAGCTTCAAGTGCTGCCCACATTAAGTTGATTGTTTCTGTGGATTATCTTCTAAAATTCCCTTGCTTTCTTATTTCTTTGTTTTGTTTTTGCACCTTCTTTGTAGAATAAAAAATGGCTAATTTCCCCCTTTTTGTTTTGATCTTTGTCATTCTTTTTAGCCAAATTTCTTTCCTCTAGCTCTAGTAGAATAACTACCTATTTGCTTATTTAATTAGAGTATGGGCTATAATGTTATAATTCTCTTTGTTTTCTAGGGCTACTGTAACAAAGTACAGCCCTCAGTGTTGTCCATAGATTCTTGGAAACTGCATCTTTAAGCAAAGTGACATATAATTAAGTCAGATAAAATCCTTTCATTCGACCTTCGCTGGCATTGTAGTATTCTCATCAGCATGACAGCAAAATGACATTGTTAAAGGACCTGCTTTCCATAAACTGGGTGGCTTAAAACAACAGAAATTTACTCTATCACAGTTTTAGAGTTGATTGTTAGAAATCTAAAATCAGGGTGCTCGTAGACTATGCTTTCTATGAGTCTCGGGGTGGAATCCTTGCCTCTTAGCCAGTGGTGGCCATTGCTCCTTGGCTACATTAGTTCGGTCTCTGCCTCTCTTGGCACCTGCCTATTCTCCAAATATCCCTCTTTGTATGAGGACACCATTCACTTTGGACCTGGACCCATCGTGATGGCTTTGTCTTAACTTGGTTATGTCTGCAAAAACCTCATTTTCAACATTCGTAGAGACCAGGGATTGAGACCAGCATACCTTCTTTCAGGACAAAGTGCAATCATCATAGCTTAGTAGTAGAAGTACTTTTCTCTCCGTTAAAACTTTTTATGGGATCCTCACTTGCCTTGCTTAGTTCTGTTTCTAAGGGGTATAGGGTAAAGGAAGATTGTTCAGGCTTTTTTGATGTTGGCCTCTGTGGCTATCACCTGTGGCCTTGAATGCAGGAGGCATTTGTGAGCGTGGGCTCGGCGTACGCATGCCTGATAGTGGGCACCTGGAGTATGGCGTGGATTATGTAAGTGGGCACACCTGAGCTTAGAGACTGAGCACATAAGGGCGTCGTCAGAGGACTGAGTGCGGCAGAGGCCCATGCGGTGGAGTGCTTTGGAGCATGGCTGCGAGAGGAAAGAGTGTATAGAGATTCTTAGGGGGGCCCAAGTGGCTATATCCCTGCTGGCTTGTTTCCCCTCCGTTCTATTAGAAAACCTGTGGGGATGGTGCCAAGGGCTCCAAGAGTCTCTTTTAAGCTGCCTGAACCAACAATGAAGCTACCCGGCCTGGGCTGGTTGGTTGCAGGACAAGGGGGTAATTTATTGGGGAGATTTTATACTAAATTTTAAAAATCAAATTTCATTTGTTAGTAGATTATAACTAAGTTGTTTTCCTGATTTCATATCACTTTTGAGGTTAAAAAGTCAGATTTTACCCCTAAGAGTTTTTTAAAAAGTAAAATTTATCCTACTCATAGTCCCTAGATATAGCTACCTTTTTAGGGTAACATCCTTCCAGACTGCTCTAGAAGTCTAGAATAATGCATGCACTTTATTTTATATAAATGGAATTATATTTTCTGCTTTACTAGACAGTTTTTTTTATATGCTAAAGAGATGTTTTATATGGATGGCTATCACTATACATCATTTTAATGACTATTAAAATATATGTGCATGGAATTTTTAAACTAATTCCCCATGGATGGAGGTTAGGTTGTTCCTAATTTTCCAACATCAGCAATACTTTGACCAACATCTTTGTATATGAGTAAGTGCCTAGAAGTAAACTTGCTAAGTCAAAGGATCTACAAACATTTGTTATTCCCTGTCGTATTGCTTCACCTCTAACCAATGCTGTGTATTGGCAATCATTTTAGAGTCCTGAAGTCAACAATTATCACCCTTCCACTGACACTCCATTGACTGAAGAAGTTGAGCAGCTTTTGATATATTTGTTGAGTACTTGTAGGTTCTTTTGTGAGTTGCCTGTTTAAGGCATGTACCTGCTGTTCCACATGGTGGTTACTCATTAAAGCTATTAACCCTTTGTAAAATACTTTGCATTCCATGTTCCCATTTTTTTTACTTGTTTTTAAATTTTAGTTTATGATAACTTGTCACATATCTTTTATCACTAAAATCCAACTATCTTATGGTAATGTTAGGAATTAAAAATCACCCCTGTTATAGAGTCCATGGAGTTTCATGCTGTGTTTTTATTTCACGTGCAACATTTTAGGATACTTGCATCAACGCAGTTTGAACCTACTTCAGCCAGAATGGCCTTTCCGTGCTTTGATGAACCTGCCTTCAAAGCAAGTTTTTCAATCAAGATCAGAAGGGAGCCAAGACACCTAGCTATCTCCAATATGCCATTGGTGAGTCCACACTCTTATGGATCTGCTCACAGGAAAAATCCATTGATTGTTGTGACATGTCTTACTCAGTGACAGTTAACATTTGGGTCACCTATTTTGTTTGTTTTATTGCCTGACAGATAACTAACTTTTCTTTTACAAACCTTTTGTTTTAAACAATTTTGTTTTTTTTGTAGTCACAAAAAAAAAAGTTTCTTAAAAACATGCAAGATTTAAGAATGACATTTCAGGTCATCAATGCTAATAGGAGAGGTACTGTGGAAGGAATTGAGGTCAGGTGTGGATGAGCGTGCCCCTCATAAAGCATTTGCACCTTTGTTTTTCCTATGATCTTTTAAAAGGAGTTCAAAGAAATTGCTTCATTGAATAAGGTCATGTTTCTAGTATATAGTTGGTTTCTATAGTCACCGGTGCCTGCTCTTCCCTTTGGGTGCTGGATAGGTTAGTATGCAGTTTTAAAAACTCTATCTGTTATGCTTAGTGACTCTGTGTTAAATACCTTTAAATTCAAAACCTGGATTTCTATATACTGTGTCCTACTACTAAGGATATAGTTTACAACTATATGCCGGAAAGTGAGCACACAGATAAAGAAAAAATGTAATCTTTCTGATTATAATACAGAGTAAGAATAGATGGCTCTGATTCCTTTAAAGAAACCCTTGAACTCTAATTCCAAGCAGATGTGGACAGTGTTCCTTCTCCTTTTTAAAAGTGACGAGACCGTGCCAATACCAGTTATCTTAAGCTGAGCTACACTCTGCAAATGTTGCATATACCCCCTGGAAGCATACCAGCCCTGGGTTCAGACTCGGTGTAGAATAAGGTTTGCCCAGAGTCCTGAAGGGCACCTGCCTCTTCCCTGTTCTGACCAGGGAATTATTATCCAAGCAGGAAGGGACTCTGAGGGCCACACACCAACCTCTAGTGTGTTCTCAACCTTTTCAACCTTTAGCTCTACTTTCCCTCACCCAAATTACTATAAGGATCCCTTCTGCAAACAAGATTCTGACAGGACCTCCAGTGAAAAACACTCTTATGCAAATCCCTACCAGTTTTGTTGCACCCTCTAGCCAGCCACCCCCTCTGTCTGTGAAAAGATGAACAATTATGCCATTCTCCAATATAAGTTTGAGATAGACAACATGCTTTTTCCAGTGATAGTTCCCTCCTTGAATATGATATTGCTCTCTGGGACAGGAGTGAGTCTCTCATCAGAGGATTACAGCTTTAGAAGAATAATGGAACACAGATGGATGGAAACTAATAAGACTGGAGGAATCTGTAGACTGGCAAGGGGTGGGGGTGAAAGCCAGGAGTCCCTGAGGCATCCCTAAGGTGCTGAAGTCTAAATCCATGTATATCAGGACCTATTTGGTAGGAAAATCTAATGTAATCTTGCCTCCTAGACAGAAAGCCCAGAAATCTAATAGGAGTGACCAGAGCTGCAGACATGGGGTTGAAGAAATAGACAGTGGGTTTGAAAGGATCTTTTGGGGGATAGAAAAGCAAATAAAGCTATGGAACATTTAAGTCTACAGGCAGTGAACAGGAGTTAATCACATTTAAATTAAATTAACCCAGTTTCCTAATAATTAGCATAACTTCAGGAACAGAAATTTGGATTAGGTGTGGGTGGAATGCATTTAAAAACAAAAGGTAATTTGGGGTTCTTCTAGAGTAAACCTGTGTTTGCTCTCAGAGTCAGGGTTAGAATGACTGATGACCAGCAGGCACCATTGCTGGTGGTGCATGGGTATTAACAAGGATGTGGGCACAGGAGAGAGGTGGAAATATGAATGCATGCTTACCTCCAGACCATTACCTCACTGATTGCATTTCAAAGCTGATTGCAGTGATGCATTCAGAAGAGGCTTTGTGGGCTCCGGCCCAGGAACAGGCCACTTTCAATTGTATAAGAAAATAGAAGTTCATTTTGGGTTGTACATGTGTTACAGGGAAAAGATGTCCTAAAGCTAATTCCATACAGGCTTTGTAGACTCCACCCACCACTCCAGACCAAAGCCAAAAGACACTGGGAACTCCAAATCCCATCACCACCAAAGGGAAGGTGGCTGGGACCTGAGGGTGGGGTTAAGCAGCCAGGTTTGGTATAAAGCCAGACACGTGGGCTTTGGAGGGGATCCCCCATTTTGGCTCTAAGCCTGCTCGCAGCATTCTGCCAGCTCAGAGAGTGCCTTTGGGTTTCCAGGTCGGCTGATCGGGTAGGACGCATTAAAGACTTTATTTCCCTATTTTCTCCCTGAGTTGTACATTTCCTTAATTCCCTTTCCCTTGTAAATAAACCTTTTATTAACCTTTTTGTGTGTGCCTGTAGTGGAGATTAATAAGTCCCTTTTAAGCATGTGGGTGAGACCCACAGCCAGGCAACCCGTTTTTATATCGGGGTTGCCCTATAACACATGGTCACATTGTTTTCCTAGTGTAGAATTAAAAAAAAAAAATAGAAATTGCATTGCCACAATTCTTATACCTGTATTTAAAGATAAGTGGACTCTATCTTGGCAAAGGCAGTAACTTTAGTTTTGCCTCTCCTGTCTCAGGAACCTGCCTCAGGTTGCAAACATGACTCAGTTTGTGATCATATGGATTATTTAAAAGTGAAGCGGTGATGGTCACACAACTGTGAACATAAATAAAAAAATATATAAAGAAAAAAAAGTTGAATTGTGTACTTTAATTGGTGAATTTTATCGTATGGAATTAAAAAATTGCTTAGAATCGTTTGGCCTTAATGTCTAAATGACAATCAGATGTTAGAGAAAATGTTAAATAATTATACCAATGGCATGCCATATACTTTCAATATTATGTCTTGTAGTTAGGAAATTTCTGTTTTTAACATGTGTTCAATGTATTGGGTTATTTGATGACTTAAATTATTCTGATTTTAGGTTAAATCTGTGACAGTTGCTGAAGGACTCATAGAAGACCATTTTGATGTCACCGTGAAGATGAGCACCTACCTGGTGGCCTTCATTGTTTCAGATTTCAAGTCTGTCAGCAAGATGACCAAGAGAGGAGTCAAGGTGAACCTGTGATTGTCACACGGGGTGACCAGCTTGTCCTGGCCTGCCCGGGACTGTACTGGTTTTAAAACCGGAAGTCCCACGTCTTGGAACCCGCCCCCCTCAGTTGGGCAAATGGTTGCTCAATCTCTTGTGACAGATGCTCATATGTGCAGTGAGTTCTAGCAACAAAATCATGCGGAAGGCCTGGCCTGGGCCATTGCCCTGGCTGCACCACTAACTGGCTTTCTGACCTCAGTTGGCCCTGTTCCCTTTGGAATTTTTTTTTTAAAGATTTATTTATTTATGCATACAAGAACTGGGGTACTGGCCAGAGGTGTGTATATGGGGGTGGATGAGAGGATTCACCAGAGGCAGAGTAGGAAACAGAACAGGCAGCTGAAATACACTGCTGAGTGGAGCAGCGGGTGAGGCAAGAGAGGTCTGCTACGCCATGTGGGTCACCTCCCTGGGTGGGGATTGAACTCATGCTCCAGAGGCTGCGGATAGCTTCATACTTTGCATCTTAACCCCTTGCGCCACCAGGGAGGCCCTTTGCGGTATTTTTGATACTTCTTTAAAATGTCAGAGTTGGACTAGATCTGGTTTCTTGGGTTCTTTCTGGCTTTAACTATCTGCAATTTGGAAGTGAACGTTACTTAACCTGAGCACGTGATTTCTGGCCTTGGGAAGGGAGTAAGATTGGTGTAGTCTGCAGATTAGATGGGCCTGGGCTGAGCATCTGAGCCAGGAAATACTGGAAGACTTCAGAAAAGGTCTTTTCTAGGAGCTCTTGCCCCTTGTCTCGCTGCCATGGTGTAGGGGGCCTGTGGAACTGCTGTGTGGTTCTGAATACCAATACCTGTTTTGGAAAGGAGAGCGTGCACTTTATTTGAAGATAACTTATTTATTTGTGTTGGTTTTCACAGGGGCCTGAAGTTAGGACTTCTCTGCTGAATTGGCTCTTTTTCTATAGTACTAAGTGTCTTATTCTTGTGAAGATATCTCTAATTATTTGGTACTTAAAGGTCATACCTGAGATTTGGTAGGGAGCATACTAATTTCAGCAATGAAGCTCTATCGGCAGAAACACTCAATTTTTATATCCTTTATAAATGATTCTTTTTATGTCTCTTCCTGTGATACTGAGATTTATAAATAAAGGAGATATTGGGTTCTCAGAAAAGTCATGACTTTTTCCTGTTTTTTGAAGCAAAAATGCATCATCACTTTTCCAACAGGCCAATATATTTGGTCTTCATCCTGATTCTGGGACAGAGAACTCGTAAAACCCTAGGACTTTATTTTAATTTTATTAAATTTATCTTCTTACATCATTGCTCATTTTTGTACGATATTTGATTTCTCCTGTCAGTTGTCATCCCCAGTTCTCCCTCCACTACAGCACCTGTGTCCTCCCCAGTTTCACCACCCCCCTTCTCTGCTTGTGTCTTGCAAATAAAACCCTAGGCATTTTCTAAGTGCAGAGAACCTTAAAGGTGTCTCTTGTTATGTTAATGAGGTGACTTTGGTAGTCTGGAGAGGGGACTAATTGCCAGGGAACCAAGCAGGTGATTGGAGAATTGCACCTTTCAGTGCCTCACTGACCTCCAGCTGGAGTTGAGTTCAATCACCAGATGCTAATGATTTTATCAACCCGATGATTTTATCAACCCCGTCTGTGTAATGTAGACACCATAAAAACCCCAAAGGGCAGGTGGGTTTGGAGAGTTTGCAAGTTGGAGGTGCTGGAAGAGTAGCCATCTGGAGGGGGAGAGTGTGGATGTCCCCAGCTTGGCCCCATATCTTGCCCCATGCATCTCTTCCATCTGGCAGCTCCCAAGTTAAATCCTTTTATAATAAATTGGTAATCTGGTAAGTAAAATGAGTTCTGTATGCTAGGCTAACATTCATTTGATGAAGGATGGGGTTGTTGGCATCTCAGTCAGAAACCTAGGATAAACTGGACTTGAGGTTTGCCTCTGAAAAGGGAGTGTGAGTAGCCTTGTAGGACTGAAATACAATCTGTATTATCTAGAAGGGCAGTTAGTGTCAGAATTAAATTGACTTGAAGGACACTCATCTGATGTCAGAATTACTTGGTGATTGGGGAAACCCCCTCTCTCCCCACATCCACATTGATTTTGTGTTCCAGACATACAGGTATCTTTAGTCCCCTATTTCTTCAAAAATTTTAAGCATACGTATAATATGTTCTGTGTCTAGTAATTGTCATATCAGAATCCTTGTATATCTGGTTCTGAGGTTATTGCTTCTGCCGGCTCTTGCTCACGGTATCTTATTCCTTTGTGCGTATTGTGGTTTATGTCTTTGAATTTCTGTCACCTAAATTGAAGGTGGATTGTTACAGAGATAATTCGTTTGCTCCTGTCAGGTGGCTGGGAGCAGTTACCAGTCCATGTTAAGCTACTGGCTTATTTATCCTAAGTCCAGCAGCTAAACATGGTAAAGGTTAGGCTACAGCTACAATTTCCCCTAGTAAACCCCCTTCTTCTGTGAAGAGTACCAAGGTCTGAATAAGACATTTCCCCCTTGCATTCCTTGAAGAAGGGGGTGGCTGTTTCTCATTTTCCCTGACCATAAAGGCATGATCTTTTAGAGTTCAATTTTATGCAGGGGCTATCTCCTGGTGGACAGACCCCATGGTCAGGCTCTGGATTTTTGTCTCCTAGCCTCTGAATATCAAAGCTCAAGCCTGTCTGTGCTGTGATAGTGTTTCAGGACAAAAGCTTACTGCAGTGCTTGTCTGATTTCTCAAGGTCTCACTCTCTCTTCCGTTTTGGCCTCTAAGTCACCTTACTTTTTCACTATTTCATGTGAACATTTAAAGACATTTTTATATATGTTGTATTTGTAGTTGTGGTCAGAAGGTGAATTGATCATGAAGAATGAATACAGAATTAAGGAAAGAACAAGAACATCCAGTTGTCTTGAATTTTGGCAACCATATCCCATAATATGAAGTTGCTAATGGTATAATGTTAGTCTTCCATCTAGTTGTGGAGTGAAGCTTTGATAGCATTGGAGTAACATTCTTGTATCTTTCCCTTCAGGTTTCCATTTATGCTGTGCCAGAAAAGATAAATCAGGCAGATTATGCACTGGATGCTGCAGTGACTCTTCTTGAATTTTATGAGGATTATTTCAGCATTCCATATCCATTACCCAAACAAGGTAGAGATTTCTACAGCTATTCCAAACTATAGCCCTTAATGGCCCCAGCCATAGACTATATCCTCCTAATTGGCATCCCCATGGTTGTCCCAGCAGCGCCTCAAAGTTATTAAAAACCTGGGTAGTTGTGAGCCAAGGGGCTGATCTTTCTGACCCCTGTGTATACAGTGATCCTCTAATGATAATAAAAGTGGATCTGGGTACAGTTTCCTGGGGCATTTGGCATGGGGATAATTCTGATTTAAAAGGCAAACCTAACTGTACTAGTGGGTAGTCAGCAAAGGGCATAGGCAGGCTGCATTTTTTCATTATTGACACATACTGGGTAGGAACATTTAAGGCACACAATGTATGTTTGAATGAATAAATTTACATAACATTAGAAGAATCTGCATTTTCTTTATCACATGAGTTTTTAAAATGACTGTTGTCAGTTAAATAGGAGTTTGGGGTATCGGAAGTAGTGGATTTTTGAGCCATTTGTTAACATTCCGTCCCCAGACTCATTGTCAGAACCTTAGAAATGGGAGTCAGGAAGCCTGAATACCAAGTTGATTATCACACAGCACCCAAGTGAGCAACTTTTTCTCTATTGTGAAAGGTTGTCTAGAGTTTGATTCTGTACGGGAAGCTAAGCTTTTCTTTTGATACTTACACCTGCTCATTCTGAAAGTGTGTTTGGATGAGGTGTTATTTAGAGATTGGTAATGTTTTTACTGCTTTCTTCCAAAGATCTTGCTGCTATTCCTGACTTCCAGGCTGGTGCTATGGAAAACTGGGGACTGACAACATATCGGGAATCTGCTTTATTGTTTGATGCTGAAAAGTCTTCTGCCTCCAGTAAGCTTGGCATCACCATGACGGTATCCCATGAACTTGCTCACCAGGTAGACAGTCCCAAATGTGTGTCTTTAAAAATATCATGTGACTAGGTCTGTGTTGCTTTTATGGGACATATGTGGCTACTCTTAAATTGTGTGAATTGTATTGATTCATTTGTTTTGTCTTTTTCCCGTAAGAAAAATTATTGAACCATATTTTATAACTTATGTCAGGTTTTTCTTTAACATTCATATGCTGACATTGTACATATAATTTGTATTTCTTAGTGCCTTATGTTTATGGCTATATATTCTGTTATTCAAGGAAAATGTGAATAATTTGAGAAATACTTTTCTTCCAGTGGTTTGGGAACCTGGTCACTATGGAATGGTGGAATGATCTTTGGCTAAATGAGGGTTTTGCCAAGTTTATGGAATATGTGTCTCTACTCGTGACTCATCCAGAACTGAAAGTTGTAAGACATGTTTATTTGCCTTTACACTTGAGATAATTTGTTCTGTTTAGTGTCACTGGGAAACATTTACTAAACTTTGATTTTATAAATCTTAGGTTAATAATTTCCTTGTCTCTCCTGCCTCCCTGTGACTATGCAGGTGTTTCTTTTCACCTTTGCAGGCTCTTCCCTTTGCAAAGAAGCAGCAGCTGCCCTTTCTCCCTGATTGTGTCTCTGTTAGCATCTACTTCTTTCCCTTTCCTAGTAATCCGATCTTTTTAAAATAGGGGGAAAAATCCTTGTAACTTTAGATATAAATCATGTTTTTAAAATGCAAATGAAATCCAAACATATATCACAAAGACATTTCCAGATTGGATTGTGAAACTGTGTCCCTTAATAACAAAAAGTAATGACAACATTTTCTTCATTTCCCAGCTCACTGAAGATAGGTACAGATTGCTATTTTTTTTTTTTTAAAAAGATTTATTTAGGCATACAGGAACTGGGGTGCAGGCCAAAGGTGGGGGGGGGGGTGAGAGGATTTACGAGAGACAGAGTAGGGAATAGAACAGGCAGACTGACTGAAATACACTGCTGAGGGGAGCAGCAGGCCAGTCAGGAGAGGTCTGCTGCGCCATGTGGGTTAGCTCCCTGGCCGGGGATCAAACTCCTGTCACAGTGGCTGACGATAGCTTGATAGCACTGTGTCTTTAATCCCTGTGCCACCAGGGAGGCCCACAGATTGCTATTATTTTAAGAGGACCCTTGCTGTTAAATCAAATGAATTATGCTTAGGTAACTGCACATTTGATTGTGTATGAAGCTAAACTCAAATGGGCCACAAATTTAATGTTTGAGAACCTGTTTTATTTTCATGTATTTAATTTGTGAAAATCACATATAGTAAAATTAAAAAAAACAGTACCTTATGTATACAATCCTTTGCCCTACTATAATAACTTTCATTTAACATAAATCATTTTCTTCTTCTGTACACATAGTTTACACATTGTTGTACTAATATACATGTTATACTACAGAGAATCACAAATATTATCCTAGGTGCCACGTAATCTTTAACAATAAGAATTATTACTCTTACTCTATTGGATAATATGTTTTAATTGGGTTACGTTGGAATTTGTTCTTTTTTTTTTTTTAAATTAGGTTTTGAAGCTAAACTTCTTTGCTTTAAAATATGGAAGGTGATAATTGGAAATGTTGAAATTACTAGTTATATTTATACTAATGCATAATTTTGTGCATTTATGTATCTTGATCATTTTCTCTTGGTAATTTGCATAGCTATGTTTTAAGTTAATATGAAATTTTCTTTAAATTGATAAGTTTTTAAGATCAGCAAAATCTGGAATTTTTACCCAAATCATTGTTTTTGAAGGATGTTCTTTAGAAAATAGTAATTCTGTAAATATTAAATAGGCTTTACCAGAAGGGTGAAGGATAAACCTGTTGCACCAGATCAAACTTTTTTCCTTTGATCTTTTCCATCTAAATGTAACTCATAGGTGATTTTCTTTTTTGTCTCAATAGGAAGATTATTTTTTGGGCAAATGTTTTAGTGCCATGGAGGTAGATGCATTAAATTCCTCACACCCTGTGTCCATACCAGTGGAGACTCCTGCTCAGATTCGGGAGATTTTTGATGAAGTTTCTTATGAAAAGGTAAAATGGACTCTATAGCTACAGTTTGGACACTAAACTTATTACTGAGTGGAGGTTATAGGTGGGGGTGTGGGGTGACTTTCTCTTCTTTATGGCCAGTGAATCAAATGCCTTCTGTTCTGACCTGTGCTGAGTGGAGTTAACTCTTTTAGACTTACCTTGCAATTGGGCTTATAATCCAGTTCTTCATTTACTTTCATAAATTGAACATCCATGGTCAACAGAAGCTCTGCCTTCTGTTTATTTAACAAATAACTGTTCATCGTACATCAACTCTGAACCAGCCAAAAATTCTGCCCTTGTGTAGCTGACCTTTCAGTGCCTTATAAAATATGGTTTGTAGTATTGAACTGCGAAGTATTATCCTGCACAATGTGTTTAGTTTATTTATTTATTTAATTTATTTATACAAACACTGGGGTACAGTCAGAAGCGCGGGAGGGTGAGAGAATTCACCAGAGCCAGAGCGGGGAGCAGAGCAGGCAGAAGGACCGAAGCACACTGCTGAGGGGAGCAGCGGGCGGCAGGAGAGGTCTGCGTGCCATGTGGGACCCTCCTCCGGTGGCCGGGGAGCAGCCGGGGATCGAACCGGTGCTGCAGAGGCTGCGGGCAGCTTCGCAACCCAGTGCTCAATGGCTGCGCCACCGGGGAGGCCCCTGCACAAAGTGTTTAATTAGAGAATTGGGGATTGTTGCCAACTTTTAATCCTTGGGAGATTTTATATAATAATCCAGAATCCTGCCTTCTCTTACCAGCCCTGTGTTTCTCTATGTAGTGTCGTGACTTCCTGATGAGAGCAAGTTTCTGTTTTTCCACTACCCCTTCCATCACCAACCATTTCTATTTTCTTCTCACTGAGCATTTATTTACCTTTGCACTTGACTGCTCTATTTGTAGTCAGTAGCATTGTCATTTACCTTTGCACTTAACTGTAGTCATTAGCATATGTCATTTACCTTTGTACTTGACTTTTATTTGTAGTCAGTAGCACAGTGTTTCTTGCCTGCATCTTTCTATTAAAAGTGCAAGGAATAAAAAGGATAAAAGCATTTTCTTACCCTCATTTATGTAACCTGTCCATCATAGGAGGCATTTGAGCTTGTGGCCCATAATCTACAGTAATGGGAGTGGAGGGGAAATAGCTCTTCATAGGCACACAGACAATCTAGAAAATCTCCAGCTTTCCTTCTCACTGTGAATCTTGTCCTCTCGAGTCCTCAGGTCTTGAGGCTGCCTAGTTTGCACCATTCCTTACCAGCTACTCACTTTTGTTACACCTCTTGTACCTGTCATTCCCAGTACTGCCCCAGAGTGGCAGTGGGGGAAGGCCCACATGGTGGTTGAAGATCAATGTTTAATCGGTGCCATTATCTATTCAGCTGTCCACTGTGGGAGCTGGCAGGTGATGCTAACTTGCTCCTTGGGGAGACTTGACAACTGAGATAATAACTGTCGCCAGTGGAGGATTAAGAGTCCATGTTCCACCTCCTTTCCAGGTGAATCCAGATTTAACCCACTTGTACTAATTAACTCATTGATCCCCCAACCTCAAAATCTTACTTTGCATGTATTTGCATTTGAAAGAATTCTTTCAAAATAATATAAGACAGTAGATTAGATTGCAACAAAAGTATAGATAGCTATAGAGTCAATTATTCATATTATTTTTTCAGGGAGCTTGTATTCTGAATATGCTAAGGGATTATCTCAGTGCTGATGCATTTAAAAGTGGCATTGTGCAGTATCTCCAGAAGTACAGCTATAAAAACACAAAAAATGAGGACCTGTGGAATAGCATGGCGAGTGTGAGTATGTTTTGTGTATCTCTACATTTGATATTTTCAAGTTTTTAATTTTTTTTTCGTATCATAGCCCTCTGGGAAGAATCATGAATGTTTTCTATGGAAACTAGTGATGTGTTTATTATCCGTTTAGATTTGCCCTTCAGATGGCACACAAGGGATGGAAGGCTTTTGCTCTAGAGGTCAACACTCATCTTCAACCTCAGTAAGTGTTTACAACTGTACGTGTTAGCGCTCGCTCTTTACTCCATATTCTTTGAGGAAAGCTCTTTGCCAAACTTCCTGACATCCTTGGTAATATCGCCCTTCCTCTAGATAAGAAAGCCTTAGACTGATCATCATCTTTCACAATTTTACTTCATTATCTACACAGGGAGTTGCGTAGCTTTCTTTGGTAACAGTCTGCAGTGATACTAATTTCTTCTGCTTCACTCTCTGTAAAGTAGTGAATTTATGACATGTTTCTGTGTAGATTAGGGGTGTATCAGTCAAGATGTATCAGTCATTTCCATAACTGTATTTGTTATTTTTTTTTTAAGATTTACTTTATGCGTATAAGAACTGGGGTGTAAGCCAGAATAACAGAGGGTGTGGGTGGATAGTGAGAGGATTCACCAGAGACAGAGTGGGGAGCAGAACAGGCAGATCTGCTGAAATACACTGCTTAAGGGAGCAGCAGGTGAAACAGGAGAGGTCTGCTGCGCCATGTGGATTATCTCCCTGGCCAGGGATAGAATTTGTGCTGCAACGGCTGCTGATAGCTTGATAGCACTGAGACTTAAGCCCTGCACCACCAGGAGGCCCTCCCCCCCCCCCCGCACCCCCACCTGCTTTTTTTTTTTTAACAATGAAGAAACAGGCCCAATGCAACAAGGGTTCTTGAGCAGTTACTATGTGTCGGGCATGTGCTCAGCCCTGATAAGGTACTAGTGTATCATCTTTACTCTTCACACTAAATTTAAGAGGGAGGTACTGTTATCCCCATCTTTCCAGCTGGGAATATGAAATTAAAAGGCATATGGTTAGTAAATTATAGGGCAGGGATTTGAATTTAGCATTTCTCAGGTTTTTAACTGCTAAGAAACATAGAATTCACAGTATCTGAGTCACAGAACAGTCTGATTCCCTTTATCTGAACTTGTGAGTCTGGTTATTTTATTTTATTACCAGAATTTTATTCACCATGTTTTTATTTTCTTGCCTTTATTAATTTTTTTCTTTTTTGGAAATGACTTGATTCACTGGTTTCTAGAATGTCCTATAGCATATTTTCCCTTTTATTCTTGCTTCAATATTTAAAAAAATATTTTAAAAGATTATATGCTCTTGCATTCACCACTCTTTGACTTTGGGCTGTCTCTGTAAAAGCACTCCCCTTCGCCATACATTCTTCTCTTCCTTGCTTGTCTGACAGCCAGCATAGCGAGGCATGTATTGAAAACTAGCCACTGTCTCCCTCATTCATTCATTAACATGCTTGCTTTGTGCCTGCTGCCAAGCCTGAGGTATGTCAAACAAAACCAGATATTGTACCTGCTCTCAAGATATGTACGTGCAGAGGAGGAGAATGAAGAGTCAGTATTCAGTGCTCTGATGGGGGGGTGATGACAGGAAGTGGGGGAGGAAGGAGCAGGACTGGGGGCCAGAGGGGCAGATGAGAAAGAGCTTCACCGAGGAGGTTGTCAATCAGTAGCAGCTCTGTGAATCCAAGCTGGAGTTCTGCCTTTTCTTAGAGCATGGTCTAAGTGGGTCATATCTCTGCTTTTTTGTGTATAAACCAGCACTGGCGACAGGAAGGCGTTGATGTGAAAACCATGATGAACACCTGGACACTGCAGAAAGGCTTTCCCCTGATAACCATCACCATGAGAGGAAAGAATGTTCATATGAAGCAAGAGCACTACATGAAAGGGGCTGACGACGCATCAGAAACTGGGTAATGTTCTTAAGAGAAACGAATTTTGTTGCTGCTGTAACATCTGACTTGCAGGATAAAACTTTCTTTTTTTTTTTTTTTTTTTTTTTTAAAGATTTATTTATTTATTTATACAAGCACTGGGTACAGTCAGAAGTGCAGGAGGGTGAGAGAATTCACCAGAGCGGGGAACAGAACAGGCAGACTGATGAAATACACTGCTGAGGGGAGCAGCGGGCATGGCAGGAGAGGTCTATCCCTCGCCAGTGGCCAGGGATTGAACCGGTGCTGCAGAGGCTGCGGGCAGCTTCGCAGCCCAGCGCTCAACCGCTGCGCCACCAGGAGAGGCCCGCAGGATAAAACTTTCTTACAATGAACCTGGGAAGTTCGCTGATGTCCATCGAGGGACTTGCCATGTCCAGCCAGGCAGCTCTTCACCCAGACCGCCACACTGACTGAAAACAGGAACTAATTTCTCACACCTGCCACTCTACGTTCATTTGTTTATGGAAGTGAGATCTTGAATAAGTAAAAACATGAAGAATGAATTACACTTCCCTCGCCCCATGTCCTGAACTCTCTGCTTAAACATAAATGATGGTTAATGCCTTTCAGCAAAATATGGGGAAATGGTATTAAAACAGAGCTGTTACAGTCTCTCGTGTTAGCTAGAAAGAATTCTAGCCGAAAGTGTTCTATACTCTGGTTTTAAAAGTTTGATAGGTGTAGATGTAAATTTCAGAAGTGAAGCCATGTGGATGAACACTCTAGTTTTCAGTGGCAACAAGATTTAATTCATACTAAGCAAGCAAAGCTTCTGAGCATTTAGCACTCACTGGGTCCCACCGACTAACCAGGCACACTTTAGCCTTTGATTTTTTTTTTTCCTGTTAAATATTCTTTTTCTCACAAAACATTGTAAAAGCAATAGCATCAGCTTTGGAAAATTAACCCAAAATAGATATTTTAAATCCTTTCTGTGGAAAAACACAAGATTAAATGTGACAATAAATGAGCTCACAGCAAGTCATACTTATAATTATAGTATTGAATCCTTCTATTGATCATGACACAAATTAACCATTTGTAGGTGTTGCTACAGGAGCATAAAAAAATCTTTTAAATAATGCCCCTACCTTTATCACTAAAATATTTCAATAGAATTTATGTATCCTATGAAGTTGACTTACATACCACCATCTTCTCAAAAGATGACTGACATTATTGTCATAACATTGGTGTGCCACACTGTATATGACTCAGAGGTATAGAATCACACCTCTTCTGATGCAGATCATGACACCACACCCACCACCAAGGCCCCCATAGTCCTGCACCATAGTCTGTGAGGCTCCTTCCATACTTTGCTCTCCCCACTGTCCTTCCCCATCTGGTAGCCTCAGTTCTACACTTGTGCTCTAGAATTTGTTATTGGTATGGTTTTATCTTTTGTATTCTCTATAATTCTACATATGAGTGAAACCATCTTTCTTCTGACTTCTTTCCCTTAGCATTATCCCCTCCAGCTTCGTCCATGTTGATTCAATTGGCAAATTTCATCTTTTTTTGTTTTTGTTTTTCACATCTTAATCCACTGATCTGTTCCTGGGCACTTGAGTTGTTCCATAACTTGGCTGTTGTAAACAGCCAGTGAACATAGGCATGCATGTATCCCTTTGAAATAGTGTTTTTGCCTTCTTCAGGTAGATTCTTAGGAATGGGATTGTCTGGTAGAGCTGTTCTAATATTTTGAGAACTCTCCTTGCTGTTTTTATGAGGGCCATATCACTCTAGATTCTTACCAACAGTGCACAAAAACTCCTTTTATTCTACGCCTTTGCCAACACTTTGTTGTTTCTATTCTTTTTGATGTGGGCCATTCTCACAGGTGTGAGATATGGTATCTTCTTGTGATTTTGATTTGCATTTCTCCGATAAGTGATGATGAGCATTTGTTCATGTGCCGTGGCCATCTGAGGAAGTGTCTATGTAGCTCTTCAGCCCATTATTTTCTTTATTTAATTGTATGTATTTCTTTATTTAATTTACAGATCTTAGATATCAGCCCCTTGTCAGATGTACCATATATAAGTATTTTTTCTCATTCAGTAGGGTGTATTTGTTTTAAGGATCATTTCTTTCTCTTTGTTGAAACTGTCCTACTTTTCTCATTTCTCTTGTTGGAGATGATTCTACAAAGACCTCACTGAAACCAGTGTGGTGCAATTATTTGTCTGTCATCTGAGTTTTATAGTTTCAGGTCTTGCATCCAAGTCTTCAATCCATTTTGAGTTAATTTCTGTGTAAGGTGTGACAGTGGCCTAGTTTTATTCTTTTGCATGTGAATGTCCAGTTTAACCAACACATTTGTTGAATACACTTTCTTTCTCCAATGTATAGTTTTGACTCCGTTGTTATTGATTAACTGTCCATATTATAAGTGTGAGTTTATTTCTGGGTTTTCAGTTTTTTTTTTTTTTTTATTAGATAATAAATTTTATTGTTATATTCCCCATACAATTGCAGCGCCCCCATTCTGACCCCAATCCCTCCCCTCCCGCCCCTGCCCCCCTAAAAGTGTCTCTGGTTCATAGTTTTTTGTTGATTTTGATTTTCACTTTCTTATAGTTATTCATTTTCCTGGTCCCTTATTTAAGTTTTCTAGATTCCTGCTATGAGTGAGACCATCCGGTATTTTTCTTTTTCTTTTTGGCTTATTTCGCTGAGCATGATCCCTTCCAGCGCCATCCATGTTGCTGCAAATTGCATGTGTTTATCTTTTTTGAATGCTGAGTAATATTCCATGGTATATATGTACCACATCTTCTTGATCCAGTCATCTATTTTTGGGCATTTGGGTTGTTTCCAAAGCTTAGCTATTGTAAACAGTGCTGCTATAAACATAGGGGTGCAGGTGTTCTTTGGAATTGATGTTTCTGTGTCCTTTGGGTAAATACCTAGGAGTGGAATTGCTGGATCATATGGAAGCTCTATGTTTAGTAGGTCCAGAAATCTCCACACAGCTTTCCACAGTGGTTGGACCAGTTTGCACTCCCACCAACAGTGCAGAAGAGTTCCTTTTTCTCCACACCCTCGCCAACATTTGTTGTTGCTAGTTTTTTTAATATGTGCCATTCTCACTGGTGTAAGATGGTATCTCATGGTAGTTTTGATTTGCATTTCCCTGATGACAAGTGATGTTGAACATTTTTTCATATGCCTGTTGGCCATTTGCATTTCCTCTTCAGAGAAGTTTCTTTTAAGCTCTTCTGCCCATTTTTTGACTGGATTATTTTCTTTGTTGTTGTTGAGTCTCATCAGCTCTTTGCAGATTTTTGTGATCAGTCCTTTATCATTAGTGTTGTGTGCAAAAATGTTCTCCCAGTTGGTGGGGTTTCTCTTTGTTTTTGTTATTGTCTCTTTTGCTGTGCAGAAGCTCTTTAATTTGATGTAGTCCCAGCTGTTTATCTTCGCCTTCACTATCACTGCTTTGGGTGATGTGTCTGTAAAGATGTCTTTGATGTGCAAATCCCGTAGTGTTTCGCCTATATTTCCTTCTATATATTTTATGGTTTCAGGTCTTATGTCTAATTCTTTAATCCATTTTGAGTTGATTTTTGTGTATGGTGTGAGGTAGTGGTCAAGCTTCATTCTTTTGCATGTAGCGACCCAGTTTTCCCAGCACCATTTATTGAACAAACTTTCTTTGCTCCAATGCATAGTCTTTGCTCCTTTGTCAAAGATTAGTTGACCATAAATCTGTGGGTTTATTTCTGGATTTTCTATTCGATTCCATTGGTCTGTATGTCTGTTCTTGTTCCAATACCATGCAGTTTTGATGATTATGGCTTTGTAGTATAGTTTGAAGTCTGGGAGTGTGATGCCTCCATTCCCTTCTTTTTTTTCAGGAGAGCTTTGGCTATTCGGGGTTTTTTGATTCCATATGAATTTCATCAATAATTGTTCTATTTCTTTGAAGAATGACATTGAAATTTTGATTGGAATAGCATTGAATCTGTATATTGCTTTTGGAAGGATGGCCATTTTAATAATGTTTATTCTTCCAATCCATGAGCAGGGGATATCTCTCCATTTCTTTGTGTCTTCTTCTATTTTTTTAACAGTGTTTATAGTTTTCTTTGTATAGGTCCTTTACCTCTTTTGTTAGATTTATTCCCAAATATTTGATTTTTTTTGTTTCAATAACGAAAGGGATGGTTTTTTTTTGATTTCTTCTTCTTCAGATTTATTGTTTGTGTATAGGAAGGCTACTGACTTTTGCGTGTTGATTTTGTATCCTGCCACTTTACTGAACTGATTGATGAGTTGAATTAGCTTTTCTGTGGAGTTTTTGGGGTTCTCTATGTATAATATCATATCGTCTGCAAATAGTGATAGTTTGACTTCTTCTTTTCCTATTTGGATTCCTTGGATGTCTTTCTCTTGTCTTATTGCCCTGGCTAGGACTTCCAGTATTATATTGAAAAGCAGTGGTGAGAGTGGACATCCTTGTCTTGTTCCAGATCTTAATGGAATTGCTTTCAGCTTTTCACCATTGAGAATGATACTGGCTGTTGGCTTGTCATAGATGGCCTTTATGATGTTAAGGTATGTTCCTTGTATCCCAAGAATTTCAAGGGCTTTTATCATGAATGGGTGTTGCACTTTGTCGAAAGCTTTCTCAGCATCTATTGATATTATCATATGGTTTTTATATTTCTTTTTGTTGATGTGTTGGATAACGTTGATTGATTTTCGGATGTTAAACCATCCTTGTGTCCCTGGAATGAATCCTACTTGGTCGTGGTGAATTATCTTATGGATACATTGTTGGATTCTAATGGCTAAAATTTTATTGAGGATTTTTGCATCAGTGTTCATTAGGGAGATTGGCCTGTAGTTTTCCTTTTTTGTGTTGTCCTTGTTCGGTTTTGGTATTAGTGTAATGTTGGCTTCATAGAACGTGTTTGGTATTGTCCCTTCCTTCTCAATTTTTTGGAAGAGTTTGTGAAGGATAGACA